GGGAAAAGATAAACTAAAATCTTCACTACCAAAGGGGGGGGGGGGGGAGTTATGCCCTGCACTTTGTTCTTGGCTGAATCCTAAATTACATTAGTTGGAGCAGTGTTTCTCAATCCTGGTCCTGGAGTACCACTGTGCTAAATATTTTGGTGTTTCCTGTCCTCTTCATCCAGTTTGGCTTGTCTATTAACTAACTGTTTGTATCAAGAGGGTTGGGAGCTTTATCCACTATCATTGATGTTGCTGAAAGAGATCCAACTACTGAGTGAGTCATGCCTCTGATTTCCCTTTATCAATATACTGAAGTGCTTGTAATCATGTTGATCAGATTATTGCCAAACCCAGTGCAGTCAAAGGAGCTGGTAATAAACCACTATTCAAGATTTCTAACTCCTACTCAACAGGAATGGAAGTGCTGCAGCAGAAAATGGGGAAAGGTTAATGCTTTGTTTTCAGGACTTGCTGGATTTCTCAGCATGTACTCAGCATGAACAATATTTTTGCTCTGTGAATTCTTCAATGTTTATCTGTTGAAATACACATAATCTGTAATCTGAGAGATGATGCACCTCTCTGTCTTGGCTGTGGCATAAGTCAGCCTTTTGTTAACTGATAAAAAGGTATTTGAATTCGCCTCATGCTCTAGTTGTCCTGTTTGAAAGATCCACATGTGGCTTGCTGTACTCTTCACAGTACATCCTGTACACCAGGCATAATGAGGGCTTGTTTGCTGCACTTTTAGCTCAGCCATGGACCAATTTCTCAAAACATTAGCTCATTCAGCCCAATTCTGAGTCTTCTCTAACTGTGACATACAGCTCTCTTTATGCTTCATTGGTAGAATATATGTCCTATGTCATGTTTTCTTAGGGCAGACTATGTGTTTGTGGCCAACACGTCTTGAATGTCTCTCCGATTCCAGGTTACATGGCACTTAAAGAATGCATCAATGCATCAATGCGTCACATTCTCACTGATCCTCTGGTGTCACTTGGGGTGTTTGGTGTCACATGTTCCTCATTTCTTCTCTTTGACCTGGAGCAGGTAGTCTGTATCATTCCCTGTCCTTGAGGATCAGTGTCAGTTCTGTTTGCACTTCACCTTCACCCTCTTACCCCAGCCGCCCTGCCAGCACCTCAGCTGTTGCACACCTTACCCATGTGCTGCAGGATAACATAGCGGGAGAGAGATAGCCCTGACATACCCAAAGTAACTGACCCGTGTCAACTGATATAAAGCTCTTTTTCCGCCACTTGTGTCTTCAGTATCATCTTAACTGCACCAGGCCAGACATCTGAGGCTGGAAACGTGCAGAAGTGTCAATTGCTGGGATAGTTTATTTAGTAGAGTGTGTGGAACAGGAAATTGGATTAAGATTTGACACTGAACACAAAAACAGTTACTAAAGGAAGCAACCGTAATCTATTATTATCTGCTTTTTTACTATGGACCCTTGATGCTCCATTTAAGCCAGTACATAGACTAATTCCTGCGGTGGCCTGTACACAGGGGCAGGTGGGGCATGTACACTCACGGAGCACTTTATTAGGAACACTATACTAATACTGGGTAGGCCCTCCCTTTGCTCTCAAAACAGCCTCAATTCAACAGAAATCAGGATTCATCAGATCAGGCTATGTTTTTCCAGTCTTCAACTGTCCAGTTTTGGTGAGCCTGTGCACACTGCAGCTTCAGCTTTCTGTTCTTGGCTGACAAAAGTGGAATGCAATGTGGTCTTCTGATATTGTAGCCCATCTGCCTCAAGGTTTGATGTGTTGTGCATTCTGAGATGCTTTTCTGCTCACCACAATTGTACAGAGTGGTTATCTGAGTTACTGTAGCCTTTCTGTCAACTCGATTCAGTCTGACCGTTCTTTGTTGAACTCTCTCATTAACAAGGCGTTTCTGTCCGCAGAACTGCTGCTCACTGGATGTTTTTTCTTTATTGCGCCATTCTGAGTAAACTCTAGAGACTGTTGTGCTTGAAAATCCCAGGAGATCAGCAGTTATAGAAATATTCAAACCAGCCCGTCTGGCACCAACAATAACACCACAGTCAAAAATTACTGAGTTCACATTTTTCCTCATTCGGATGGTTGATGTGAACATTACCTGAAGCTGCTGACCCGTATCTGCATGATTTTATGCATTGCACTGCTGCCACATGATTAGATAATTGCATGAATGTGAGGGGTACAGGTGTTCCTAATAAAGTGTACAGTGAGTGTATATCAGCTGTTAATCTTCATAAAGTCCTCAGTCATACCTCCATACATTAACAGAGATATAATTTCTGTTGAGTTGCTCACCTTTCTAGAGGCTGCATGCTTGCTTCCATAGAGTTATTATTACACCTAGTGCTCAAACATGGGAACTGCAATAAATGCTAATAGAGGCCCATCTGGGCAGGAATCACACTGACTCATGCTTGGAGGAGGAGCAGAGGACAGAACAGTTAATGATAGGGTTAACAAACTGGGCTGATTTAAAATTAGTCCAGAGCCACCAAGATTTTATTGTATAGCAAATTCTGTCCATGATGTACAGAACATTTTCTATTTTAAGATATATTGGAAAGACTAGGAGAGAGCTTATTGGGATCATGGAGTGAAAAATGTCTGTACATCAGAAATGCTTGTGTACCATGCTGACCTTGTTTCTCAAACAAGGACTATGTCTCTCTTTTCCAATGCACAATTTTTTGGGCTAGTTTCAAGTTTTTTGTGTGGATTTTGAAAAGTAGCTGGCCTGGAAATCTTGCATGAAATTTGGCAACCCTGATTAATTAATTTTGGCTCTACTGTGTTTGTCTCACACACAGAAAACAGATCTACTCTATCAAACACAGGTGAACAAATGTATGTCTAAAACAATTCAAAATGAGCTGCTAGACTGTATGCTGGATGACTGTATGTTGTCAACATGTTGTCAACTATCCATCTATTATGGGGCTACTCTAGAAATTCACTAGTCATGTGTGATAGCCTCTCAGCAAATTTTGTTTGAGGCTATGTCATTATTAATGTCATTTGCCCCACCAATATCTATAGTCACAAGCCACTGCTGCTACAAAACCTCAATTCTAAGGGTGTGATCTATATACCTCCTCACAAAATGTGATTGTTTGCAGGAAGATATGTCTAAAACTGCTTGAAGACAGCAGTGATGTAATGTACTTGTAATTTAATGTGATTTAATGGTGTAATTAATAAACTGCATGTAAATGCACTTATTGTCTGCATATGTTCTGAACCTCCTCTTCTTTACTTCCATGATCAGTTTTCTATATTCTACTGTTCCCATCACTTCATCATCTGACAGCGCATACACTATATGACCAAAAGTTTGTGGACATCTGACCATCACACCCATATGGGCTTTTTGAACATCCCATTCCAGATTTGGTCCCTTCTCCTGTTATAATAAGCTCCACTCTTCTGGGAAGACTTTCGACTAGATTTTGGAGCGTGGCTGTGGGGATTTGTGTTCATTCAGCTACAAGAGCATTAGTGAGATCAGGCACTGATGTTGGGTGAGGAGGTCTGGGGTGCAGTCGGTGTTCCAGTTCATCCCAAAGGTGTTCAGTGGGGTTGAGGTCAGGGCTCTGTGCAGGACACTCGAGTTCTTCCACTCCAACTTTGGCAAACCATGTCTTCATGGAGCTCGCTTTGTGCACAGGGGCATTGTCATGCTGGAACAGGTTTTTGCCCCCTTAGTCCCAGCGAAGTGAATTATTCTTGTAATACTACAGCATTCAAAGACATCCTATACAATTGTGTGCTTCCAATTTTGTGGCAACAGTTTGGGGAAGAAGCACATATGGGTGTGATGATCTGGCGTCCACAAACTTTTGGCCATAGAGTGTATACTGGGGGTATCGGCCTATTTATTGATGTATAAACAGGGAGTCTCGAACCCCTGTCTTCCGCATGACAGGCGGAGATACTGTCCACTATACTAACGAGGAGTTGCCCTAAACCACTACCAAGTGCACTTCCAAGTCCACTATAGTTTGGGCTAGTTTCAAGTTTTTTGTGTGGATTTTGAAAAGTAGCTGGCCTGGAAATCTTGCATGAAATTTGGCAACCCTGATTATTTAATTTTGGCTCTACTGCTGCAGCACTTCCGTTCCTGTTGAGTAGGAGTTAGAAATCTTGAATAGTGGTTTATTACCAGCTCCTTTGACTGCACTGGGTTTGGCAATAATCTGATCAACATGATTACAAGCACTTCAGTATATTGATAAAGGGAAATCAGAGGCATGACTCACTCAGTAGTTGGATCTCTTTCAGCAACATCAATGATAGTGGATAAAGCTCCCAACCCTCTTGATACAAACAGTTAGTTAATAGACAAGCCAAACTGGATGAAGAGGACAGGAAACACCAAAATATTTAGCACAGTGGTACTCCAGGACCAGGATTGAGAAACACTGCTCCAACTAATGTAATTTAGGATTCAGCCAAGAACAAAGTGCAGGGCATAACTCCCCCCCCCCCCCCTTTGGTAGTGAAGATTTTAGTTTATCTTTTCCC